CACATCGTCGCATGTTGTCGTTTGCTGTCGCGCGATGTCGCATGCGCGCCGTACTCGAATTGGAACGTGACGGCAGGAATCAACATCGTAGCTGATAATCCCGTCCAGTTTCTTCCTCCCCCCGTAATTGTAAGTCATTTTCTCTTTTCATTTCCTCACCCATTGTCTCATATTATTTGTTCTACTAACTGCCTTTCGTGAACATGCCACCTGCAGGTACTGTGGCGACTGCGATTGCGGCTTCGTTGGTTGCGCAGCGTGCCATTTATTACCCGACATACAGGCTTACTGGCGTTTTAATGAAAGCATCAAGGTACGATTTTCAAAATTACAGTTGGTGCTAACCCTTTGTGTGAATGCTTGTGGCAGATGTGTTGGACTTGTATAACTGGTTGGACATACGCTGAATCCTGCCACTGTCTCGTGCATGTTCGTCTGTTTGCCACTGGTTGGACTTGTATGTCCTGGCTGTATGTAAATGCTAATGTATAAAATATTTGCACTCCAAGAACCACGTCGCGCTTATACTGTGTGAACGTCAAAATTAGCTAGGAGCGGAACAAGGAAAGTAAGGCTACCATACATAATGAAAATGGTAAGGATAAGGGGTAGAAACTGTATGTTGTTCTTAGGTGTTTGTAGACCAAACATTACCCTGAAGCTATACGTTAGATACACATTCGTTAGCCTTCTGTGCCTTACTAAATGTTATACAAACTGAGCTTCCCAAAAACCCACGCAGATTTCTACTATTTAGTAGGTCTAAAATGTCATCCCAAAACCATACCAAATAGCATACGTCTGTTATGTATCTAGTATGTCAAACGGTCCGCTATTTTTGACAACTTGTCTCCTTTGCTCTGCGTTATTTCTTGACGATGTCGCGTTCTCCATACGTCGCGATTTTCGCATTTTGCCTCCGACACCCTGCTTTCAAGTCCGCTCCTTTTCCTCGTCGTTTAAATTTTCGAGATCTGTGCGAAGATCTAATTCTGACGCTTCACTATGTAACGTGGTAACCCGATGCGTCGTTTCCCAGGTGGTACTGCTGGGCGCGGTGGAGAGCTACCGCGTGGGCGGTCTGGAGGGGTTCCAGGAGGTGGAGGATCCGATCTACCCGGGCGGCGCGTTCGACCCGTTGGGGCTGGCGGACGACCCGGACGCGACGGCGGAGCTGAAGGTGAAGGAGCTGAAGAACGGGCGGCTGGCGCAGGTGTCGGCGCTGGGGTTCTTCGTGCAGGCCATCGTGACGGGCAAGGGGCCCCTCGAGAACCTCGCGGACCACCTCGCCGACCCCACCGCCAACAACGCCTGGGCGTACGCGCAGAACTTCGTCCCCGGCGCGTAGAGGGGTGGAGAGAGGTTTGATGAGTTTGGAGGAGGTTCGAGGGCGTTGGGAGGGAGTTTGAGGAATTCGGATTCACGGTTACCACGAACTTGATTTGGTGAACTTGCACATATCTGTATAGGCAGGATTTGTGTATTTATGATGTTTTCTAGGTTTAAGAGTCGTCTGACCTGAACCTTCTAAGGTGAATCTGCAACAACGTTCTAAGGAAGCGCAACAACGTTCTACTGCTATTGTAGCTGTGAATCACAAACCGTGTTCCATACCTGATCTGTACTGTGGCTTGGGCCCGTCCTGGTGCACACCTTCGTAAGAATGGGTTTCACCATTTGAGATGGAAATACTGCAACGCAAGGTAGCCAGCTAGGCCATAAGGATCACATCAGAATTTCGTGACGGTTTCGAATCTTGATCATGAGAGAATACACGAGAGAAAGACGGTCCCAGAAGGAGGCATGCCAGCTCATGCATGCATACACACATTTCCCTCACCCCTACATCCTCCGTCTCCTCCCCCCCATAAACCCAGTCATCCCCACAACGCTCCAGCCCCAGCGTTGCCCGCATGCGCATCACATCCGTGATCTTGGTCGACCGCAGTGTGCCCCACCACACAACACGTGCGCATGCACACATATCATCTCCACCGTGCTTCTCGTGTTCCTGTGTGCTAAGACCCCCTTCTGCCTGCAGCTCTGCTGCTCCTGGCGCGGCTGATTTGACTCAGTGGAGCTCATGAGGAAAGCAGTGGAGGATAGAGCTCATGAGGAAAGCAGTGGAGGATAGAGCTCATGAGGAAAGCAGTGGAGGATAGAGCTCATGAGGAAAGCAGTGGAGGATAGAGCTCATGAGGAAAGTGTTAAACTGTATTATGTTGGTAGGCTGTAGTGGGGTAGCCAGTATGGGGTACAACCCCAACTAGGGTTTGCTACTTGTACCCAATTCTTCCATTCAATGCATCATTCTTGCCTAGTTCTTCTGAAATGGTATCAGAGCAGGAGGTCCCTAGGACCTACCGACCGTTTTTTTTTTAGGGCCCACCACCGCTCGCATGCGGTTACCACGCTACCCCGTGCCCTAGCCTCGTAGCGCCCTCGTGCGCCCTCGTTAGCGCCCTCGTGCGCCCTCGTTAGTGCCCTCGTGCGCCCTCGTTAGTGCCCTCGCGCGCCCTCGTTAGCGCCCTCGTGCGCCTCTCGTTAGCGCCCTCGCGCGCCCTCGCTAGCGCCCTCGCGCGCCCTTGTTAGCGCCCTCGTGCGCCTCTCGTTAGCGCCCTCGCGCGCCCCTCGCAGCGTCGCCCGCCCGCCCGCTGCCCGCTTGCAGCGTCGCCCGCCCGCCCGCTGCCCGCTTCGCAGCCCGCCCGCCGCGCTGCCCGCTCGCCGCGTCGCCCGCCCGCCCCGCTGCCCGCTTCGCAGCCCGCCCGCCGCACTTCCCGCCTGCAGCGCCGCCTGCCCGCCGCGCTGCCCGCTTCGTAGCCCGCCCCCCGCACTGCCCGCTCGCCGAGTCGCCCGCCCGCCGCGCTTCCCGCCGAGCTACCTACCTGCAGCGCTGCGGCAGCTTCCTTTGCTCAGTCGCACTGTCACTATGGCTTCCATCCGCGTGCTGTCGTTCGATGCTGAGGGCCGCCCTGTGAAGTTCGCCACTTGGCTGGATGACCTGCAGCTGTTCCTTCTGAGCGATAGCAAGGAGCATGTGTCGCTCTATGATTACGCGTCTGGTGCTGCACCTGCCCCTCCTGCCACAGCTGAGCTTAGTGTTCGTTCCCACTGGCAGACTCGTGACGCAGCTGCTCGCCTAGCCATTCGCAGTCACCTCCCGCTAGCTGAGCTCGAGCATTTTGGCGACTGCAAATCCGCTAAGGCCCTGTACGATGCTGTCGTTGCTCGCTACTCCTCGCCTGCCACAGCCGAGCTTAGCCGCCTCATGCTGCCGTACCTGTTCCCTGAGCTGTCCACCTTTGCTACAGTCGCCGATCTTATCACCCACCTTCGCACTAGTGATGCTCGCCTGCGTGCTGCCCTTCCCACCGAGTTCTGCGCTAAGAACCCCCCTCCACTGTACTGGACACTCCACTTCATAGTCACCCGACTCCCTGACACCCTCAGCTCAGTTCGAGACCACTTCCTTGCTCGCTGTCCCACTGAGCTCACAGTCGCCCTCCTAGAGGAGCAGCTGCTAGCGGCCGAAAAGAGCATTGTAGCTGTCGGTGCTGCTCGTGGCGCTCCTCGCACCCCCATCTTTGAGGGGTGTTCTCCCTCTCCCCTCGCTCCCTCCTACGCTACTGCTGCTGCTGTTGACTTCCTTGGTGCTGTGTCCACGTTTCCTCATTTGCTTACTGCTTGACTTTCTTTGTACTGTACTTTATATATATCTTGCTGCTTGTCCTGTTCTATATCTAGCACTGCATGTGAACTGGCCTTGTGGCCTTTGCTTGTGCTCGGAGTGTGGTGACGTTGTGATCCACCCTGGGCTTTGCTTTGCTTTGCTGGACTGGTCTTGTGACCCTTTGTTCTCCCCCACTTTGCCTATGGGGGTGTGTTAAACTGTATTATGTTGGTAGGCTGTAGTGGGGTAGCCAGTATGGGGTACAACCCCAACTAGGGTTTGCTACTTGTACCCAATTCTTCCATTCAATGCATCATTCTTGCCTAGTTCTTCTGAAAGAAAGCAGTGGAAGGGTTCCAGCGGACAGGGACACATGGGAGGCAGGCAGGGGACACATGGGAGGCAGGCACGCTGGCATGCGGTTGGGGGTGGTCGACGGACAACTGATGGGGAGGTAGTAGGCAATGTGAATGTCGAGATGGTTTTTGCTTCCAACAATCTGGTTATTTCTAAGCCATTAGGGTTACCCTAGTTGCCCTTTGCCCCCAAACCCTCCTCCCGTACTGCCGGGGGCCACTGAAATTGCCGACCCGTGCAAATCGACGCTCGAAATCTGCCAAACCGCGCGAATCGGTGGGTGAGATTGTCGATTCGTCAGACTACCGACCCACCCTGGGGTCACAGGTGACCCGGCCCTATAAGCTCAGGTCGGGTCAGCCGCCCAAGAATCTTGACCGGATGTCAGGTTGACCCGACCCGACCGGCACGGCACCCAGCCTGGGTGGGCTTGGGCTGGGACGGGCTGGGACGGGTTCACCCATTGCTCATGCCTAACCCGCACTGCACTGCAGGCAAAAGCACTAGCCACAAGGACACCTGTGGTGCCGTGCTGCCCTCCTCTCTACTCCTCTAGCTTCTGCCTGTGCCCTCCACTTGCTCTCGCGCTCTCACTGTCTGCTCTGTACAAATTTGGGCCCACAGCAGATGCACACAGCAGCAGGTGGCATCGACTCTGCTTCACTCCAGTAGGGACGAAAGTGAGGGCGGAACCTGTACAACAGGGGTTGCTGCATGGTGGGTGTGGAGGGCAAGTGAGGGAGGGGGCCAGGGGGGATGGGGAGGAAGGGAGATGGGTGAGGAGAGAGAGTGTGTTGGGCAGACATAAAGGAGGAGAGGGATCTGCTTGCCTCTCTCGCACTCCCTGCTTCTCTCGCATCTCCCTGCCCCTCTCGCATCTCCCTGCCCCTCTCGCATCCCTGCCCCTCTCGCATCTCCCTGCCCCTCTCGCATCTCCCTGCCTCTCTCGCATTTCTCCACGCGCCACCCACCATCAGTGTGCGTTGAGGCGCTGCTTGTCGCGTTGCCTGAGCTGCGTGGAGCTGATCTTGCCGTCCATGCCCGCATGCCCGCCGCCCTCGTCCACCAGATGCACCACCACCACCTGATGGCACGGGAGACACACGGGCGCCGTGGGGCAAGAAGGATGGAGAGCAAGGTGGAGGGAAGAGGGGGTTAGCGGATGAAATGAAGTGCCGAGTGCATGAGTTTGTGCAGTTTTAACCCCATGAGTACCGCCATCACTCGCACCCACCACCATCACTCGCACCCACCACCATCACTCGCACCCACCACTATCACTCGCACCCACCACCATCACTCGCACCCAGTGGCTTGAGCCCATGACTCACATCCAGTGGCTTGAGCCCATGACTCACATCCAGTGGCTTGAGCCCATGACTCACATCCAGTGGCTTGAGCCCATGACTCACATCCAGTGGCTTGAGCCCATGACTCACATCCAGTGGCTTGAGCCCATGACTCACATCCAGTGGCTTGAGCCCATGACTCACATCCAGTGGCTTGAGCCCATGACTCACATCCAGTGGCTTGAGCCCATGACTCACATCCAGTGGCTTGAGCCCATGACTCACATCCAGTGGCTTGAGCCCATGACTCACATCCAGTGGCTTGAGCCCATGACTCACATCCAGTGGCTTGAGCCCATGACTCACATCCAGTGGCTTGAGCCCATGACTCACATCCAGTGGCTTGAGCCCATGACTCACATCCAGTGGCTTGAGCCCATGACTCACATCCAGTGGCTTGAGCCCATGACTCACATCCAGTGGCTTGAGCCCATGACTCACATCCAGTGGCTTGAGCCCATGACTCACATCCAGTGGCTTGAGCCCATGACTCACATCCAGTGGCTTGAGCCCATGACTCGCAGTGGCTTGAGCCCATGACTCGCATCCAGTGGCTTGAGCCCATGACTCACATCCAGTGGCTTGAGCCCATGACTCACATCCAGTGGCTTGAGCCCATGACTCACATCCAGTGGCTTGAGCCCATGACTCACATCCAGTGGCTTGAGCCCATGACTCACATCCAGTGGCTTGAGCCCATGACTCACATCCAGTGGCTTGAGCCCATGACTCACATCCAGTGGCTTGAGCCCATGACTCACATCCAGTGGCTTGAGCCCATGACTCACATCCAGTGGCTTGAGCCCATGACTCACATCCAGTGGCTTGAGCCCATGACTCACATCCAGTGGCTTGAGCCCATGACTCACATCCAGTGGCTTGAGCCCATGACTCACATCCAGTGGCTTGAGCCCATGACTCACATCCAGTGGCTTGAGCCCATGACTCACATCCAGTGGCTTGAGCCCATGACTCACATCCAGTGGCTTGAGCCCATGACTCACATCCAGTGGCTTGAGCCCATGACTCACATCCAGTGGCTTGAGCCCATGACTCACATCCAGTGGCTTGAGCCCATGACTCACATCCAGTGGCTTGAGCCCATGACTCACATCCAGTGGCTTGAGCCCATGACTCACATCCAGTGGCTTGAGCCCATGACTCACATCCAGTGGCTTGAGCCCATGACTCACATCCAGTGGCTTGAGCCCATGACTCACATCCAGTGGCTTGAGCCCATGACTCACATCCAGTGGCTTGAGCCCATGACTCACATCCAGTGGCTTGAGCCCATGACTCACATCCAGTGGCTTGAGCCCATGACTCGCACCCAGTGGCTTGAGCCCATGACTCGCACCCAGTGGCTTGAGCCCATGACTCGCATCCAGTGGCTTGAGCCCATGACTCGCACCCAGTGGCTTGAGCCCATGACTCACATCCAGTGGCCTATGTTGCACTATACGCTTAGGAAATTTTACGTTTCACGTATATGCGTTCACGTATAAACGTGAAAACGTGAAACGGGGACAAATACGCGATACGTAAATCCGGGCAGGCGAAAAAAAAAAGAGAAAAAAAACTGTTGCCGCTGATTCCGCGATCTGCAATTCTGTGAAACCTAATTTTGAGATTCGAAACTCGAATGCCCCCCTCCCCTCCCCTCCACCGCACATCACCTCACACCACCTCCCAAACCCAACTTCCCTTACAAGCTGCTCACCAGTCGGCGTGAGTACAACAGCGAAGCTCACGCCAAGTTTACTGCTATTGCTAGCAGCGGCGTCGCGTCACTTGCAGATTTTAGCAACCGCAATATTAGGACGATTCTAGCCAACAATTTCGTACTGGCGAAAACCCCACGGGAGTTATCCGCATCAAGTATTGCTGAAGTTCTTTCCCTATAAGCATTCTACCTCAACTGAAATGTTTTTTCCCTGCCCTAGAAAATTTCAACCTGCCCGACGCACCGTATTTCGAGGTTTTTTGTACGCTGGAAATTTGCGTATCGCGTATGTACGATACCGTATAGTTCGTACGCGTTCCGTACGCCATACGCGTATTTTGCAACATAGCCAGTGGCTTGAGCCCATGACTCACATCCAGTGGCTTGAGCCCATGACTCACATCCAGTGGCTTGAGCCCATGACTCACATCCAGTGGCTTGAGCCCATGACTCACATCCAGTGGCTTGAGCCCATGACTCACATCCAGTGGCTTGAGCCCATGACTCACATCCAGTGGCTTGAGCCCATGACTCACATCCAGTGGCTTGAGCCCATGACTCACATCCAGTGGCTTGAGCCCATGACTCACATCCAGTGGCTTGAGCCCATGACTCACATCCAGTGGCTTGAGCCCATGACTCACATCCAGTGGCTTGAGCCCATGACTCACATCCAGTGGCTTGAGCCCATGACTCACATCCAGTGGCTTGAGCCCATGACTCACATCCAGTGGCTTGAGCCCATGACTCACATCCAGTGGCTTGAGCCCATGACTCACATCCAGTGGCTTGAGCCCATGACTCACATCCAGTGGCTTGAGCCCATGACTCACATCCAGTGGCTTGAGCCCATGACTCACATCCAGTGGCTTGAGCCCATGACTCACATCCAGTGGCTTGAGCCCATGACTCACATCCAGTGGCTTGAGCCCATGACTCACATCCAGTGGCTTGAGCCCATGACTCACATCCAGTGGCTTGAGCCCATGACTCACATCCAGTGGCTTGAGCCCATGACTCACATCCAGTGGCTTGAGCCCATTGGCGGCGCGCCTCTCATTCACCGCATGGGCTCCCTTCTCCGTCTCAACACTGCGGCAAGCGACGGGATTGAGCAACGGAAAGAATTCACACGAACAATACCTGCAGCATGGGTTTTTGCTTCACACATAGTAACTGAGGTGCCATGTCATGGCCCTGAAAGTCCTTGTACACAACGGCATCAACATATTCAGTTCACATGAAAAGCTAGAGAGAGAGAGAGAGGTGAGGAGTGGGTTGAGGGCAGAGTCCCTGACAGCGATGGTTTGAGGGCAGAGCACCTGACAGAGCACCTGACAGAGCACCTGACAGCGATGGCGTCCATGTTGGGGTCGGTGATGGAGGGGCCGAAGGGGTCGTCGATCGCCACCGCCTCCACCCTCACGCCTGCCTTCTCCCCCTGCCCCGTGCCCTCGCCCCAACCACCATGGGCATGCCATGCAGCACAGCGCATCCATGCATGGCGGAGTGCAGCAAGAGGCGGGGGGGGACGTCCATCAGTGAGAGATGTGATGCAGAATTGGGAGGAGGGGGGGCAGGGGGAGTGAGGACAAATAGAATTGAAATGCTTGACATCCGAGGGGCGTGGAATGGTTGAAAAGGGTTGTACACAACACAGTAAAAGAGGCGTGCGTGAGAGGAGGCGGGCAAGTGGAAGAGTGGAGCGGAGGGCAGCGCTGCAAGCAAGCGCACCTGGAGGAACTGGGTGACAGCCTGCTGGCGCTGCTCGAATGGTTGAATCAGCTCGCACAGCTGCTGCCCGCACACCCGCCACCACCAACAGAGCATGCAGGGAGCGGTCAGCGTTACAGAGAAAACTGCTTTGAGAAAGGCGTGAAGGTGCTAGTAGCGCTCGCAGAGTGCAAAGCGGTAAGGTGCAAAGCGGTAAGGTGCAAAGCGGTAAGGTGCAAAGCGGCAAGGTGCAAAGCGGTAAGGTGCAAAGCGGTAAGGTGCAAAGTGGTAAGGTGCAAAGCGGTAAGGTGCAGGGCGGTAAGGTTCAGGGCGGAGGTGGAGGGGAGCGCACCTCTTTGGAGTGCAGCATGCGCCCCACCGTGATCCCCACCACCACTCGCTCCCGCGCTGCTGCCGCTGCTGTCTGCAATCAGGGCAAAGAAGCCGATTGAGATGCGGCAGCACAATGGGTTACTCGCACTCGCTACGGCCTCTGGTTCACCCGTTTTGCCCGGCCGGAGGTGGGAGGTGGAATGCTGACTCGCAATGCCCAGTGCGCACCATGCCCATCCGCGCCATGCCCATCCGCGCCATGCCCATCCGCGCCATGCTCAGTGCGCACCATGCCCGTCCGCGCATGCGTGCGCGGCACCCACCCGGAGCAGCAGGCGGTGGCCGTCGTGCAGGCGGTCGAACGTGCCCCCCACCACCACGCACGCGTACGCTCCGCTCAGCTTCCGCCCGCCCGCCTCCTCGCGCAGCACGTGAATCACGCGCGCGGGAGGCCAGCCCCCCACATGCTCGTCCGGCCCCGCGATCATCAGAGAGATGTGAAACTCCGAGCAGGGCGCCTGTCGCTAGGTCTGGGCCCAGAACTCGGTAGGGAGGTGCTCCGTAAGTGGAGCTTCAGATTCCGGTCTCGGGACTTTATTATGCGTCGTTTGGGGCCCAAGTCAGCACTTGATATCAGGGCTACTACCACTGGTAATGTTGGGCGCTCGATGAGAACTGCACACATAAACCTAAGGGAGATCCTACGCTAACCTAACAACAAAGCCCAGTCCACTAAATATCTATCGTTGTGACAGTCATGGGCTCGGCTAGGCGCACTTACTAAGAGCTAGGTGCTGTGTCGTGAATCGAGGATGGGATGCTAAAGCGAATCGTGCGATGCTAAAGCGGGGGATGGGATGGTGGTGGGTGGTTCGACAGGGCAGTGGGGGAAATGGAATGGGTTCGGTTCGGTAGGGTGGAGGAACAATGGGAAGTGCACTGTGGGAGCTGTGCGGGGATGAATTTGAAGGGGAAAGGGGGAGAGGGGGGAGAACGAGAGGTGAGCTAGCCCCAGGAATCCGATCCGAGTTTCCGAAAGGCAGTTGCTTCAGGCCCTGTTCGGTAGCCTCCCAGTCGCACTGGGCCCATCGAACTGGAGAAGCGTCCGAGATTTTGCTTAGCCTCGGGCTTCCACTTACACTGGAAAGAAGTTTCGAGTTCAGTTTTCAATAATTTCCTTGAAATCTGCGGTAAATTTCTCGATACGTTTGTGGTTCTTTACCAGACTGACCCCAAAAGAAAACGTACTTGCCCGTCGCACGGCTACCCTGCTAAAAACAGAGGTAAAAAAAGCATCACTTGCTGTGCGCCACCTCTTTTTGGTTCAAGAAGGTAAGAGCACATTTTTTGTCCCGAAATTGTCTAAGCTAAAGTTAACCCAAAAATGTGCCACTTAGAGTGGCCCTCGCGGAGTGTAACTGAGACCCAAAACTGGGAGCCACTTCCACTGCGAGTCCAGTTTGCCCGGGAAAGACAATTTCCGTGCAGTCTCGACGCCCGCAGTCAGATTTGGCTTTTGAAGCGTTCGGTAGCCAAGTCACACTGGCCAGGTTCGGTGTTCCAATATCGAGTTAGTGGGCTTTAATAATGTCCTCGGAACCTGTCATCCACCTACCGCAGTATGACTGGGACGTCTACCGAACAGGGCCTCAATCACGCTGGCATATGAAGACGCTTCTCTTTCTCAACCTTCCTCACAGCCGCTCGATTTCAGCATTCGAATTTTTGGTAGCTGAGCTACCGCCGTTAGAGTCGGGGATCTTCTCGGCCTAGATTGGAGTTGCCTCCAGGGGACGCTCGTGCGGGTCGTCCCATCTCCTGTATCGTTGCGATTCCTCCTTTCCCGCCAAACGCGTCGCTGCGACCTAATCATGTCGCGAATAGTCGCTCGTCACTCCAGGTACGACCGCATCTCGCTCGACCGCATCTCACTCGACCGCATCTCACTCGCTCACCCGTTATCGCGCGCGTCAGTTTCGCGGACCAGCCGTCGCCCGAAAAGGCATGCGTACCGTTGGGTCGCGTGCAATCGCGAGCCGAGCGATCTGCCTGCTTCTCCACCCGGCCTTCCCCCGCGCGCTTCACCTCCTCGCTCTATCGTAGACCGCATGCCGGCTGTAGCCGTGCGGCATGCGCGCATCGCGGAGTTCATGTGCCACACCCGAGATTCGCCGCGCACGCGGCCGCCATGGAAGGGATCGACACGCGCGCTGATCGGCGCGAGCACCGCACAGCGCGTCGATCATCGCTCACCCCCTCCCCTCCGTGTTCTCCTTCTGCCATTGCCCGTTCCCGCAGGCTCCTCGCCAATGCGCTCGCGCCAGCTGGCGCGCGAGGGGGCGTGGCGGCTCCGTCAATCGCGGCGGTGAGTGGATCCGCGCGCTCGCAGCTGCGCGCATGCTGCCATGCCCGCCCGTCGCGAGGTTGCGAGCGGATGCGCGCGACAGCGGCGTGTGAAGGCACGAGTGGGACAGCCGTGCGCGTGAGGATGCGTGCCCGTCATCGCCCTGCAGCACGTCGTCGCCCTGCAGCACGTCGTCGCCCTGCAGCACGTCGTCGCCCTGCAGCACGTCGTCGCCCTGCAGCAGCACGCTTGCAAATTCTCATGTGCCATCGCTCGTGTGTTGATGTCCCCTGCGGTTTTGGGTCGATGCCGCTATTTCCACATATGCTCAGCTCCATTGCCACGTGTGCTTGGCCATGCGTGTCTCTCATCTGTCCCTCCCCGTGTGTCTCACCAGGTGGACGCCCCTCGTCCCATCACCACCATCGCCCCCACCACCACCTCCGCCACCGCGCCTGCCAGCGCCACTGCGCCCTCCGCGGCTGCGGGTGGGTGCGCCAGTGCCGCGCCTGCCCTCGCGCCCACCGCTGCTGCCGCCCCCCCCATGCACACTGCCACCGCTTGCCGCCCATTCCACGGCGCTGCCCCCAGCATGCACAAGGTGGTCAGCCCCGCGGCCCGACTGCTGCTGGCGGGCAGCGGCGTGGACGCGCAGGGCGTTCAGGGCAGCGGGCCCCGCGGGGTCGTCACCAAGGCCGACGCCCTCGCTGCCCTCGCCGCCGCCGCCTCCCCTGCCGCTGCTGCTGCTGCTGCTGCTGGCGCTGCTGCTGCTGCTAGAAGCGTTGCCACCACCACTGCTGCGCCCGTTGCTGTCCCTGCTCCTGCCCCCCCGAACCCCCCAGCTGCGGCTACTGCTGCGCCCAGGGCTGTCCCTCCACCCCCCTCCGCTCCTGCTTCCCCCCCTGCGCCTGCAGCGGCGGCAGCGCCTGCACTGGGAGGAGCGGCAGGGGCGTTCGTGGACGTGCCGACCACTCAGATCCGCCGGGTGAGTGAGCAGTGGGCACAGAGGGGGTGGGCACAGAGGGGGTGGGCACAGAGGGGGTGGGCACAGAGGGGGGCAAGGGATGTGAGGCACCGGTGGTTGGTGTAAGGCGGAGGAGGAGTTGGCAGACAGTTCGGAGCACAGCACAGTACTGTTGTGTTTCCACCTCCTCCTCGCCCCACCACCCCCGCCCTCCCCCCTCTCCATTACCCTCGGAATTCAAAATTGTATTCTTGCCATCCTCTGCGCTCTTTCGCCTTCCTGCCGCCCCGCTCCCATGTATCACATCCCATGTATCACATCCCATGTATCACATCCCATGTATCACATCCGATGTATCACATCCCATGTATCACATCCCGTGTTCACAACCCTCCTCCAACCTTCCCTCCAACCCCCGCTACCCCCACCCCCCCCCCCCCAACACCCCCCCCCCCTCCTGGTCATCCCGTGGGCGGCAGATCATAGCGCAGCGGCTGATGGAGTCCAAGTGGGGGTCGCCACACCTATACGCCGAGGCAGGTGCGACGCTCACTCATGGGGCTGGGGCATGCTGACGTGCATCAAGCAGCATTGCTTGGTGCTGTGCACTGTGGTCCGCCACGCCCCTTCGCTTCCACCCCCTTCCACCTCCGCCTCTGCCTCCTCTTCACCACCCCACTCCTGCATCTACCTTCTGTGTGCCTTGCCTGCTCCCGTTTGTCCTCTCCCCTTCACGTCTTTGTTGTCTTGGCCCCTCTACAACTCCCTCCCCTCTTCCCCCCCGCCCCCGTTCCCGTACTCTCTCAGCCGTTTTCTCTCCGTCGTTCGGTGCCTTGCTTCCTTCCACCCCCCCATCTACTCTCCATTTTTCTGCCGGTGCTCCCTTCCTCCCTCCGTCCCCCCTCCCTGCGCGTCTCCTTCATCCCGCCACCCCACGTGCTCCCCCGTGTGCGGCTGCCGTGTGTGCGTTCATGGTCATCAGAGGCGGACATTGACGCCACGCTGCAGCTGCGCAAGGAGCTCAAAGGTACGCCGCAGGGGGTGCGATGCGAGGGTGTGAGGGGGGATGGAGGGCGGTGGAGGCAGTGCACCTGTTCCCCTCCGCTTCCACCACGAGGGAACATGTCACAGAGGGGCTGGGGGAATGAAGGAACAAGGGTCATGTGTGCTGGAGAGAGAGAGCTACAGTGCATGACAGACCGTGAATGGGCCGTTACCCGGCTGGCTGGGCCCGACCTTGTTCTGTTGGATCCATGTGCTCCTACCTCTAACACACCGCCCTCCCGAGCCACAAAAATGATGTGGGCGCGCCTTATCCCATGGCCCTCTCTCCCTCCCCGCTCCTGTGTGTGCCTTGCCTGCCCTGTGCCTCTCCCCGTGTCCCCTCCCCCCCGAGCACAGACAAGTGGGGCGTGGCAGTGTCGGTGAATGACTTTGTGATCAAGGCCGTCGCCATGGCGCTCGCCCGTGTCAGCGATGCCAATGGTGAGCCGCTGTGCTGCTGCTTCTCCACCCATGCCTTCCCGCGTTTCGCAAATGCCCCCCTCGGGCCCCCACCCCTTGCTCCGCCCACCCCTTGCTCTGCCCACCCACCGCATCCACATGCTGTCTCTCTCACCCCACCCATGCCTGCCCTTCCCACCCCCTCTGGGCAGTGCACTGGGACGGCAAGGCGGGGCGCGTGGTGAGCAACAGCAGTGTGGACGTCTCCATTGCCGTCGCCACTCACAAGGTGGGGGGGAGGTGGAGAGGACATGGGGGGAGTAGGAGGAGGGGGATGGGGCACGGGGTGGGTGCATAGGGGGAGGGAGTGAGGCGTGGCTGCGGCAGTGTGACCATCTCCGTTGCCGTCGCCTCTCACCACGTGCACAAGGGGAGGCCGTGGGGAGGGCATGGGGGGAAGAATGTGGGTGGGCATGGGTGGAGGAGTGGGGGAGGGCATGGGGGGAGGGCATGGAGGGAGGGCATGGGGGGAGGGCATGGGGGAAGAGTGTGGTGGGAAGGTATGGTGCATGGGTGACGTGCCTAGTGGGGTGAAGCCCAGTGTGCTTGTTGCTTGCAGCTCCTCCCCTGAGGTGTATTGTTGTTATATTTGTATCTTACTGTGTGCATGTGTGCATGTGTGTGTGCATGTGTGTGTGTGCATGTGTGTGTGCATGTGTGCATGTGTGTGTGCATGTGTGCATGTGTGTGTGCATGTGTGCATGTGTGTGTGCATGTGTGCATGTGTGTGTGCATGCGTGTGGTTGTGTCTGTGTGTGCGACTGCACGCGGGTGGCAGGGACTCATCACGCCCATTCTGAAGGACGCGGATAAGAAGTCACTCGGAGCCATCTCCAAGGAGGTGACCCACCTCTGCCCTGCTCCTCCCACCCTGCCGCAACCCTTTTCACGGCTTGCACTCTCTCCCCCTTGCACCCACCCACCTCATCGCACCTCGCTGCTCCCATAATTTCTTGTCACGTGCGTCATCGCCCACAGGGGGTGCCGTTCTCTCTACCCACTGTGCTCTGCACCCCCTGCCTCATGCCGCGTATGCCATGCACCACCCCTATCACACCTCACCCCCCCTTGTGTCACCTCCCCCCTGTGTCACCTCCCCCCTGTGTCACCTCCCCCCTGTGTCACCTCCCCCTGGTGTCACCTCCCCCCTGTGTCACCTCCCCCGTCTCACCTCCCCCGTCTCACCTCCCCCGTGTCTCACCGCCAATGCCATGCACCAACCCTAACCCTGCCAGGTGAAGCAGCTGGCGGAGAGGGCCAGGGCGGGCAAGCTGCAGCCACATGAATTCCAGGGCGGCACCTTCAGGTGGGCGGCACCTTCAGGTGGGCGGCACCTTCAGGTGCGCTCAGGTGGCCTTCAGGTGGGATCAGGCGTTCATCTTCTGTTCAGGTGCTCATGAATAGAGCGTATGCAGGTTTCATGCCACTCTGAGTACAGGTGAGTGCAGGTGAGTGCAGGAGGGTGGTGTTGTGAAGTCGTCGTTGCTGTGCTGTGCTGTGCTGTGCTGTGCTGTGCTGTGCTGCGCTGTGCTGTGCTGTGCTGTGCTGTGCTGTGCTGTGCTGTGCTGTGCTGTGCTGTGCTGTGCTGTGCTGTGCTGTGCTGTGCTGTGCTGTGCTGTGCTGTGCTGTGCGGTGCGGTGCAGTGTAAGAGCCCCTCACCCTCGTCACCCCCATCCCACACTGCTACTCCCTTTATCCCACGTTGCTGCCATCCATCCGCGTGGTTCAACCCTCCTCACGCACAGGCATTCCTCGACCATGCCGAGCAGAGCACTCCCACTCCCACGCGCCCCCGCAGCACTCACTCTCACTCGTGCCAATCACTGACGGCCTCCTCCAATCACTGGCTCCTTCGAATCATACCAATCTCCTTCCCCTCCCCCCCACCACCACCTGCTGTCCCGTGCTGCCCCCTATCCCCCCTCCCGGGCGGGCAGCATATCGAATCTGGGCATGTACGCGGTGGACCGCTTCTCCGCCATCATCAACCCGCCTCAGGTGCCGCCTGCCCTCTGCCCTCTGCCGCGTGTTTTTGGGTGGTGCTGCTGGGGTGGGGCATGGGCGTGTGCCATGGGTGTGTGGCATGGGATAAGGTGTTGCTTCCAGTGGGCGGGCCTTTGCAAATGCTGGCAGGCCTGAGTGCGTCAACTAAGCATTCACTCGTTGCATCACTGCCACTCGTTGCATCACTGCCACTCGTTGCATCACTGCCACTCGTTGCATCACTGCCACTCGTTGCATCACTGCCACTCGTTGCATCATTGCCACTCGTTGCATCACTGCCACTCGTTGCATCACTGCCACTCGTTGCATCACTGCCACTCGTTGCATCACTGCCACTCGTTGCATCACTGCCACTCGTTGCATCACTGCCACTCGTTGCATCACTGCCACTTGTTGCATCACTGCCACTCATTTCCAACCCCGCCAACCAGCTGCTTCTCTCCTGCTCTTCTCCCTTCCCGCCACTTCTTGCCTCACCATCCGTCTGTTCCTCCCCGTGCTTTTCCCCCACCCCACCATGGCCCCCTCCCCTGCGTGCCCATGGCAGGCGGGCATTCTAGCGGTGGGGCGGGCCGACAAGGTGCTGCGCCTGCCCGCCGAGTCCTCTGCAGGTCACGTGCCCTCCCAGGGGCGGGGGGCGAGGGCCAAGGGGCGGGGAAGAGGGGCGAGGGGTGGGACGGAGAGGGGTGGGGATGGATTGGTTGTGGGTGGGCACAAACTGGTTTAGGTGGGGATGGTTGCTTGTGGGTGAGTTGGTTTTGCGTGGTTATGCAGTTTTGATGGAGGGGAAGGGGTGGATGTGAGAATACGCCCGCCATCATCACACCCCTCATACTAGCTTCTCCTCTTTGTTCTTTTCAATTGTGTCTTCTCTTCTTCCCCTCTCTGTGTCCGCCCATCGCCCTCTGTGTCTCCCTCTCCCTCTCGCCCTCTCACCCCTACAGCAGGCGCACAGCTGCAGGTGGCGAGCAAGATGGAGGTCACACTCTCTGCAGATGCGCGCGCCCTCGATGGCACCACGGCAGGTGAGGTGCTCTCGATGGCACCACGGCAGGTGAGGTGCTCTCGATGGCACCACGGCAGGTGAGGCGCTCTCGATGGCACCACGGCAGGTGAGGCGCTCTCGATGGCACCACGGCAGGTGAGGCAAGGGAGAGGGGCATGCCATGCGCATTCAAGCAGCCAGTGGTGTGGCAGCAGTTGGCCCACGGTGCATGTGATGTGACGTGTCACATGGGTACCTGAGGGCATGCAGTGTTACGCTCTCTGATCCACACGTTTCTTGCTGCTCGATTGCTTCGGCCTCAACCCCTTGCCTTTTCTTTCACTCCCTTCTGCAGGCAAACTACTTACGGAGATCTCAGCAAACCTTTCAGACCCTCGTCGCCTTCTCATTTAGACAACATGCAGCATTTTCTGCGTGCAATATTTAGAGTTAGAGAGTTTAGTCTTGATAGATATTGCAGTGGAAGCCTGTGGATTACTGTGTTGGATACAAAAGTTGCTAACAAGATCTATATACCTAGTAAGTACCTTTTTATGATGCACCGATTCGTGAAAAGCGTTATTTCTCAAATTGACTCTTGGTACCAGTATTTTCTTGAGTCACACAAACAGTCACAAGACTCTTCGCACTACAGCATGTAACCTCACGCGAAGTGTCAAATGTTATAGTATTAATGAGTTGTGTTATAGGGGGTACAACCAGCCTTAGTCCAACCAACACTTTCATTCTTGACACGGTATCACCTAGGTTAGGATCCTGTGGGATCCCGCTAGAGCCTCTCGCGCCCATTGCACGTAGTCGACTATTCCCGCTGCGCCTGTTTCGTCCCGTAGCGGCCTTAGCGCGTGCCCGTTCCGTTATGAAGCGCCCATCGCGCTCGCACTCCCCGTCGTGTCGCCTCCCCTGCCCGTCCCGTCCTCTGCCCGTCCCGTCCCCTGTGTTGGAGAATCGAGATTCTGCCGCCCCAGCCCTTTGCACACAAGGAGCAGCAAGGGGGGAATGTCGGCGATGGATTGAAGGCTTCGCGAAATATCGGAAAGTTTCCCAACCAATCAGATTTCAGCCGAAGACTCGATACAGTTCAGAGCTGCCTCCAAACCGAAGTGTTGGGAGTTTCTACAGGTTTCTACACATCAGAATCAGCTATAACAGAAAAATCCAGAGATTTCTTATTCATGCACCTCATGTGGCTCTCAAGTCACTCAAGGTTCATGGAAGCTGGATTGTGACCAAGTTCCCAAGGAAGTTGCCTTGTCTAGCAACCTAGTTTGAGCTACCTAACTGCCTTGTTTGTGATGTTTAAGAAGGTGTGCTTTAGTGGGCTTGTACAACCTTGATCATAGTGAAGTTTTACCTCATCCAGTCAGTCCAGCAGCCCTGCTAAGACTTTCCAGCCAAGTTTCCAACCTTTCCAGCAGTCACAGCTACTCTGTTTTACAAGTTGGTATCAGAGCTCGTCGTTTCGATCAACCTAGCCCACCACGTTCCTATCCTAGAACTAAACGGACATGGCGGGAGACAATCCTTCTGGACCTGCACTCCAGCCAGCCGGAGGAGCTTCAGAGTCAACATCAGCAGCTACTGGATTAGTGGAAGCAGTTGCACCAGGCAGTTCTTCAACAACATACTCACCACTCACCTCCTTCATGCCTAAGCTTCACCTTCCCAAGTTCAACGGCAAAGATTTTCCAACATGGGCAACTCAGTTTGAGCTCACTGCATCCCTTCTGGATTTGTGGCCTTACTATACTGGAGAAGCAGCCAAACCAGCAGCAGATGCTTCAGAAGCTGAAAAACGTCAATACGTGCAGCGCAACAAGGAAGCCTTCCTCTACCTACTCAATAGCATTCACGAGCAGCAGTTGAAGTCACTCCTACCCTGTTCTACCAAGGCAAACAGTGCGGAGGAAGCATGGAGCCGACTGAAGTCTATGCACCAGTCAAAATCCGAGAGCAGCCAAGCTGAGATGTGGAGCCGCTTCATGAATTTGAAGATGGAAGAAGATGAATCAGCACAAGCATACCTTCAACGAGCTGAAACGATGCTGGAGGAAGCAGCAGCGATCGGCTTGGAGATCCCAGAGTCTCTTTTCAAGACCGTCATCCTCACTGGCCTTACACCGGAGTGGGACACTTTCCGTGCAACACTACAAGCGCTCCCGCAGTCAATGAAGACTCGTGCATTCATCTTCGAAGCCCTTGTCAACGAGCAGCAGAGTCGAGACCTTGCACGGAACAAGCGGAGTGACGAAGGTGCGTGGAGTGCTGCAGCGGCAACACGATATGGCAACCAATTCCAGAGGCAAGGAAACTTCAGCTCAAACCGCCCTCAACCTTACTACGGTACGAAATTTCAGTCACCTTCCAATCCCTACAACCCCTCTCGTATTCCTCAGTCAAGTCATCCCCTTAAGCCAAGTCCTAATCTTCAGCCAAGGTCTTCCATTCCCAATCAATTTCAGTCTAGGAATGTGAGAGCAAATCCTTTAAGAGTCAATAATTTCAGTCAAGGGTCAAATGCTAAAAAGTTTAATTTTGAGTGCTTTTGTTGTCATGAGTGGGGTCATCCGTGGTATGCTTGTCCTAAGAAGCCTCCTAATTGGGTCCCTCCACCTCAGCTACTTTCTGAAAAGGGTAAAGCAGTCATAGCAAATATAGCAAGCCATGCTACGAGTCAAAATGAGTCCAAAGATTCTGACGGTCCTGTCCTTTTCAACGCTGCTACTTGCATGCATGTTTTTTCTACTAGTAGTGAGGAGTTTATTCTTGATAGTGGCTGTTCTGAGACCATGACTCCCTATCATTCCATTCTCAAGGATTTTCAGCCCTCATATGACTCAAAAGCAGTGACGCTTGCCGATCTTGGCAAAGTCCCTATCAAAGGAGTCGGCAAGCTTGAGTTTGAGAAAGATGGTAAGTCATTTTGTGTCAATAAAGCTTTGTTTGTCCCTGATTTGGGAGCAAACTTGCTCTCAGCTGGACAACTTGAAGAGAAAGGTGCCTCTGTTCTTTTGCAAGGGGGGAAAGCCAAAGTGTGGGATAGTGCAGGAAATTTGGTGGCTGAAGGCGAGCGGACCGGACGTCTCTACAAGATGAAGTTGGAGATCAAACGCGGTTCTAGCAACACGAAGAACGACGTTGTCTCGCTTCCCGCTGTTTCAACCGATCAAGTCAACAACAAAGGGAGTATCTCCCAAGCCGAGGTATGGTAAGCACGCTTGGGGCACTTGGGGATGCAAGCATTCAAAGAGTTAGTAAGTCACAAGAGCGTGGAAGGACTTACTTTGAGTGAAAGTGCAGTCAAGTCTCTTTCTACCGTCCCATGCCCATCTTGTGTTGAAGGTAAGCTAGCTAGAAAGCCATTTTTCCCTTCTAAGTCTCAGTCAAGGGACCTCCTAGAGTTGGTCCACACTGATGTGTTCGGCCCCATGCGAGACCCTACTCGAAACGGTAAGAGATATTTGGTGTCTTTCATTGATGACAAGAGTCGTTTCTCATGGTCCTTTTTCATCAACACCAAGGATGAAGTTCATAAGTGCTTCAAGCAATGGCTAGCACTTGTTGAGAGAGAGTCAGGGAAGAAGTTACTCACCTTGAGGTCGGACCGAGGAGGTGAGTACATGGGAAAAGCGTTCCAGGGGGAGTTGTTGTCATTGGGCATCAAGCAACAATTCACTTGTCCCTATAGTCCTCAGCAAAACGGAGTGGCAGAGAGGTTTCATCGCACTATTCAAGCTATAGCTACCACTTTTCTTCAGTTTAAGGGCCTTGACAAGCTCTGGTGGGGTGAGGCAATCACTATGGCAATCTATGTTCGCAACAGAAGGCCAACAAGGCCTCTACCGGATGGTGTAACGCCATATGAGGCTTGGTTTGGAGTTAAACCAGATCTGTCTATGCTCCGTGTTTTTGGTTCCATGGCCCAATACCGTGTCCCAGATGCAAAACGACTCAAGCTGGACAGCAAAGCTCATTGGGGCCTCTTCATCGGCATGAGCAATGAGAGCAAGGGATGGGTCCTTTGGGATCCCGTCACCAAGCGAGAAGTGGTTTCAAGGGATGTTGTCTTCTATGAAGACATGTCCCTTGCAGATTGGCACAAGTATTCCTCTTCCTCCTCTCTACCACCCTCTATCCAACAGGAACCAGCAAGAGCACCTGAGGAAACAACACAAGAGGAGGAAGATGACAACGTTTCTGACCATAGCGGACCGATCATCGATCTCCCTCAAGCCGTCGGCAACGAGACCAGCCGTGCCACACCAGCGCCACCAGCAGCTACACAACCAAGTGGAGATGAAGTTCAGCTATCAAATGAAGACCATCCACCTCAGGAAGTCACCGTTCCATCACCGCCAAAGGAGCAGCAGCCAACATTCACAAACCAGCCAGCTACTTCAACACCAACCTCACAAGTTCAACGCCAACCGGATCAGCCCACCACTACGCCACCAAACCCATCATCAGCCGTCACTCCAGAGGCAATTACAGAAGCTCATCGTCATCCCATGCAGCAGCAACCAACAGCTACAAGTTCCCAAGTACCTACATCAACACCATCTACGACTCTTCCTAGCAACAAGTCAACCGTCACCGCAACACCTCGTTCTCATACCACACGTTCATCACTTCAACTTCCAACGTCAAGCCAGCTCATAGCACGAGGATCACTTCAGCGAGTCTCCACCAACACCAGCTCCAACAGCCCACTTCTTCACCCAAGACCTTTCTCAACTTCACCCCCACGTCCCGGATTTGGTCGTCATCAGTTACCGCCATCTTCAACACCGAGCAACAACACCAACCAGCCCCAACCATCACCATCTCTCGACAACGCAGCGTCATCATCAATTCCCAAGCTTCTAGTCTCACGATCCCCACCACGAGCATCTTCACAACCAACTATGCCGACGAACGTTTCAGCTTCACCGCCACGAGCCACCACTCCTATTCCTCAAGTCAACACCGATCATCGAGAGAGTTCCAAGCCGGGAGAAGATCATGCAGCCGTGCCGCCGTCGCAGCCGATGTCGAAGCCGTTGTCTCAGCCGCAAATGACAGTGTCAATGCATCCAAACACTGTGAGACCGAACCCTACCACTGATGTGTCTCAGCCAAGTGAGGAGTTGGGTAAAGGTAAACGAGTCCGCAAGGTGAAAAAGCCCTTCACATTCATGGTTGACATGTCATCAAGGTGCACATGTGAGGAGAGCGAGAATTGCATTCACAAGAAGGTAGAGGCAATATGCATGGCAGCATCACACCTTCCACGAGAGCCCTTGAGTCGTCGTGAGGCAATGGCAAGTCCTGAGAGAGAGCATTGGTTGAAAGCCGAGGAAGAAGAGATTGAGAGTCTCATGAAGCGAGGTACATGGCGTCTTGTTGAGCCACCT